TTTCCCCTACTTTGAAGTCAACAGTTTTTAAGAAAAAAACAGTTGGAGCCTCAGTTCTGGCTTGAAATAACATGACTTGTTCTTAAATAAGCATTTTTAAAACACACACAGCACCTGTTTTAAAAAGTGCTCATGCAATTTTTACAAATTGGACTTTTTCTGAAATGACATACTGATTCTTTTCCATATTTCGATTCTGTGACTCAAATTATGCTTAAATTTTATAAAATTAGTGAGAAATATACTGAAAAATTTTAAAATTACCTTGGTGCACTTTTCTGAATTTGCATCAAGAATTATTCACTTGGCAAAATTCTTAATTTAGGATAACCTATTTTCCTTTCCTTTTCATTGTACACTGTGAAAAAAAAAGGGGGGACAGTTCTATATTTCCCCTTCTACTGTTCCAATTGGCAAAATTCAACTTGCTTTTTTTATGTCTCGAAACCGCGACTTAGGATATGTATTAGATTTATATATAGCATTGTTCTAATATAGGTATTTTGACACAAAATCTGACTTTTTCTGAAATAACATACCAATTTTTTTCCATATTTATATTTTATGGCTTAAATTATGCCAAACTGCGAAGTTTTGTAAAAATCGCACGAGTAGTTTTTAGAAAATTAACTCTCAACATTTTAACTTCTCAATATTAATTGAGTTTGGTAGCTATTTATTAATCTCTCTTTTTTTGATTAAACTTATTTGATTCTTCCTTTCGCATTTCGAAATTCAAGTTGATTCCAAATAAAATTCAACCCTTTTTTTATGACTTAATTTAAAAAATTTGTATGTTTAAATAATTTTTATAAATTTTTCAAAAAAATATTCAATTATAATCTATAAAATTTTTACCATCATCTTAAAGAAGACGTATTTCTAAGCATATCTGCAAAAAGTTATAGTTTTTTAATCAAAATTTCTGAAGATATATGTGAATTTATATATTGGTGCGTTTTCAAATTTGTCATATTTGTTGAAAGCGATAAAACATCAAATGTGGTTTAGACACTTTGCTAAAATTATTTGAAAGTGGGAACAAATTGCCTTTTTTCCCCCTGCTCGTGCACAATGTAAAAAGGTAGGAACGAGGTGCCTTTTTTTCTGCCCCTGCATATTGGAAGGGAAAGGATAATTGGTTGCCATATATTAAGAAATTCGGCAATTATTCTTGGCGCAACTGAAAAAAATTTTTCCTTAAATTTCGCACCAAAATTGCACCAAGATAAATATTTGAATTTCTCCATAAATTTCACACCAAATTTTTTAAAATTTAATATCTAGCCATAATTTGAGTCATAGAATCAAAATATGGAAAAACATTCGTATGTTATTTTAGAAAAAGTCTGATTTTCTGTCAAAATACCTATGTTAGAACAATGCTGTATATAAATATAATATACCTCGTAATTCTTGTTTTCGAGACATGAAAAACGCAATTTGAATTTTATCAATCGGACCAGTAGAACGGGAGATATAGAACTGTCCCCCTTTTTTTTTCCACGCAGTGTACGAGTATATAGCAGACAAAAAGGTGCATCATTCATTCTTTCAAATCATTTTAAAAAAGTACTTAAGTTGGTATTATTATTACTTTTAACAAATATGTCAAATTTCAAAATGCACCAATATATAAATTCACATATAGCATGAGAAATTTTTGAGTGAAAAACTCTTTTAATTTTTTGCAGGTATGTCTAGATATACATGTACTTAAAGGTGATGGTAAAAATTTTACAAATTATAATTCAAAAATATTTTCAAAACATTTATACAAAATACTAAAAAATACAAATTATAAAAATAAATCAGAAAATATATGCAATTTGTATTTGGATTGAACATAAATTTTGGATTGTGAAAGAAGGAATCAAGTATGTTTAACAACAACAACAAAAAAAAGATATTAATAAATATGTATCAAATTCAGTTAACATTGAATAACTAAAATTGTGCATCTGTTTTAAAAACTATTCATGCGATTTTTACAAAACTTGGCACTTTGGAATAATTCGAGTCATAAAATTGAAATGTGAAAAAAAATATCGATATGTCATTTCAGAATAAGTCCAATTTTATATCAGAATATGTGCATTTCAACAATGCTATATATAAATCTAATATATAAATCTAATATATATCTTTGCTACTTCTAACATTGTTTCAATACATTTGAAAAATGACAGTGTACTTTGAAAATTAAGTAGAGAATTTAGGGTACTAGTCCGTTTTGAGGACCGTAAAAAAATTGCAGCGAAAATGTATGTGCAAAAGCGCCAAATATAGCAAGTGCGCCAAATCTAATGTACGAGCTGATTTCAGATTGCGTAAGTTTATATAGTTCTATATTTCTTAAGACGCCATTGAAATACTAGTTTAATTTTTAAATCCTTTTTTTAATATCCTATGGATTTAACAATTTGGGAATTGCCCATGACGAAAAGTGTGCAATAGAATTTTGGGTAAAGTGCAGAATCACCTGCTACTTGACACGTTTTTAAGAATTGCACATACTCGGTATCCATGTACACATCGATCTATTTTTACTTTAAAAAAAATCCCAGAATTGCACAAAAATGGTACTGCACACGCCCTTGACTTTATCTGTGTACACATCGACCTATTTTCACTTAAAAAGTCAAAGAAAATTGACAAAAATCCAATTATTTTTACCCTTGTAAAAAGCAGCAAACAAATAAGTGGGCGATTCCGCATTTTACCGAGAATTTTTTCAAAGAAAAGGCGTCATTAATTATAGAAAATTATGTTTGAACAACCAACAAGATGAAATTGTGCTTTAGCGATAACTCGGTAGCGAAATAGCGATGCAGGCATCCATTCAGCTATATGTTTAGCCTTTTTTTTATATAAATTACAATAATTATCTGAAATAGTTATTTTACTCTTATGCTTCTATTCAGTCATGTTTAGCCTTTTTTATATAAATTATAATAATAAAAAAGAATTATATGAAAGTAACCATTTCATCTAAATTAAAACATTAATCTTAGATAGTTATTTACTATTTATACTTCCTTTCTTGCATTAGGGTTGCCGCAATTATTTTTGGCAGCACTGGCATCAACAATAGTTTGGTGATTTTTTACGGTCCTCAAAACCAAATAGTACTGAAGTTAGTTATTATTTCACTTTATCCGTATTGACTAATTTAAGATTCAATTTACAAATTTTGATATTATGGTTCTCTGATGTATTAGGTAAGTGTGTGCATTGTTAGCATTGTATCACTTTCTTTTCATTTATCAGTACTCTTTTTTTTAAATTTATTTTTTTATTTTTGTTTTTACATTGCTTTTCTCTCTCTTTTTTAGTGAGATGATTTGAATTTTTCTTACGATACACATATTTTGTTTAACTTTCAAACATTTGCAGTTTCACTGTAAATATTCCATTTTGGTCTAGCATAATTTTGAAGCTGGCTGTGGTGAGGAAACTTGGTTTATTAAATACTTCCCTTTAGCTCAAATGAGTAAATTAAAAATTTTTATTAATTTCTTTCTATGTCTGTTTGAAAGTTAGTTGTGTATTGTATTTTATTTTCGTTTCTGTTTTCTTTTTTTTTTATGTATATACTTGCACACACATCCGTGCCTGGGAAAAAAAAAAAAAACAAAAATCAAACACCCTTTTTTTTTATTTTGAGGATTGATTAACTTTCTTAATTTATGGCTAACATATATAGTGACAAATTTATTAATTCTGTGACTAAAATTACTAGTTATTGGACTATTTTTGTATATGTTTATCTGTTTGTTATTCTCAAAATACATTGGACAAAAAAAAAAAAAAAAAAAAAAGAATTAACATTGATCCCTTTAATAAGAAATAAAAATGTGTGTCGTCCTTCTGTTTAACTCTGAATTTTCTTACCAAGCGACTGCTTTTCTTATGTGAATATATAGAAAAAAAAAATAGGTTGTGGAAAACATTGTACAGTGTGGAAGCTGTGAGCTGTTTTAACAATAAATAGCAATACATTTATCATCCTGAAAAATTACCTCATTGGTTGAATGGTTACTTATATATTATCTTATCAACCATGAAAGTTGGTGACAATCAAAGTTAGCAGAGATCCGTCCAAAGTTGTGGCAGTAAGTCTTACAAAATTCTGAAAGAACTGGAGCATCTTCAGGAATTCTTATATGATCCAAAATGCACAAGAAAAACTCTTAAAAATGAAGGTGGCAGTATTATGTTTTGGAGTTATTTTTCATGATAGAGTACGGTTTTAATTTTTTGTACAGATGTTATAATGACAACAGAGGTATACATGGATATATCAGAGAATGCAGTATTACTGTGATTAGAGGAAGAGCTGCCTTTTAAAATGTACTATCAACAAGGTAATCATCCAAGGCATTCAGTAAATCTAACAAAAGGCTGGTTCTAGTGAACCAGAATTGATTGCCATGGCTGTCTCAGCCAGCAGATCTAAATCCAATTGATTATGTGTAGTGTAAACTAAAAAGATAAAATAAAATGCCATTATTCATCAAATCTGAAGAGACTTATTATGCTGGTTATGTGGCATTCTATTCTGGTTGGAAAGCATACAAAATTATGGACTCCATGCCATATGCTGTCATTAAAAACAAACTTTTGCAATTAAATGTTAATAAGGATGTTAACTTTTTTTTTTTTTTAGTAAACAAAGCTTTTGTTCTCATTAATAAAGTGTTTCCAGTTTTTGTTCAATATATCTTGGGAATAGTTCAGTGAAAAGTATTATGATGTGAAAACACAGTAATAGGTAATAATTATGGTCCAAATAATACACATTTAATTATTAAATGTTAAACAGCCATTATTTTAAAATTTATAAAAAGAATAAAAAGTTTCGATTTTTTTTTTTTTTTTTTTTTTTTTTTTTTTTTTTCATAAGTGCATTATAGATTACTAGGCAGTAGCTATATGTATACAAACAGATTAGTTTCCTGCAAAATTTTTTAAGTAACAGTTTATTTTCTATATAATAGATCCAGATGCTCCTGACCCCCACAAACCAGTATATGCCCAGTTCTTACACTGGTTGACTGTTAACATACCTGGTACAAAGATCACTGAAGGCAAAGACTTAATGGAGTATATGCGTCCCAGTCCACCATCTTATTCTGGTATGATTTTTGAAATATGTCAATATGAGAGTAAAGTTGACCTTAAAGTACTTAAAATGGTACATGTAATGTACAATGTGAAATAAAAAAAAAAGGGGAGATGGTTCTATATCTTCCGCTCTACTGAATCGATTGATGAAATTCAAGTTGCATTTTTCATGGCTTGAAAGTGCGACTGATTATATTTAAATATAGCATTATTCTAACATAGGTATTCTGACACAAAATCAGACTTTTTCTGAAGTGAAATGGCAATTTTTTACTATATTTCTTTTCTACGACTCAAATTTTGCCTAAATATTAAATTTTGTCAAATTTGGTGTGAAATTTACAGAGAAATTTGAAAATTTATCTTGGTGCAATTTTTTTCAGTTTGCGCTAAGAATTATTTACTTGACGAGCTTCTTAATTTATAGCAACTTATTTTCCTTTGATTTTTTCATTGTAGATGAGTAGAAAAAAGTCAGCATTCATACTTTCAAATCATTTTAGTAAAGTGCGTAAACCGTATTCGGTGTTATCGCTCAAAGAAAGATGCCAAATTTTAAAACATGCCAATATGTAAATTCATGAGTATCTTAGAAAATTTTGAATAAGAAACTCTCATTTTTTGCAGGTATACTTCGAACTACATCTACTCTAAGTTGGTGGTAAAAATTTTATAGGTTATAATATAAAAAATGTTTTGAAAAATTTAAAAGAAAATATTTAAAAATACAACTTATGGAAATAAATTATAAAAAATGTGTGAATTATATTTAGTTGAAGTCCAAATTTCAAATTCTGTAAGAAGGAATCAAGTTTAACACATTCAATTAAACATTGAGGAGCTAAAATTTTGAGAGCTAATTTTTTAAAAACTACTCAAGTGTTTTATTACAAAACTTGGTAGTTTGGCATAATTTGAGTCGTAGAATCGAAATACGGAAAAAAAAATGGCATGTCATTTCAGAAAAAGTCCGATTTTTTGCCAAAATACCTATATTAGAACAGTTATTGTTACGAATTTGGTATTTAAAAAGCTAATGTTAGTTCAATTATAAATTAAATGGTTTTATTTCTCATGCGGTGCAGCGCGTGACAAATATCAAAAGAAAGCTAAGCCGGAAAATTGAAAATACAAGAGCGCGTGCATTAAATAAATAAATATCTCTTTTTGATTTCGAGAAAGTACTGGAAAATTCTAGCGCATGATTTTTAAAATCTTATAAAAGGAGGAAAACATCTCAGTTAGTAGTAGTTGCTTAGTTTGTTGTTGTTTAGAAAACTGCTCTTGTTGATTGTAGCGAATTCGTGGATTAGCGTTCTTTAGCTGCTTTGAATTACGTTCTATTGGATATTTGAGTAGTTAAAAGATAACTACTGTGAGATATTGTAATACTGCATGATAATTTGAGAAAATTTAAGCATTTTTGTTGTGATAATAATAAATTTTTCTTCATTTTTCTTCTTTCACCGAAGAAACTCTTTCTTCAATTTGATCTTTTATGGAAGAAACTTTTTCTTCAATTTGTCCAACTTTATTTTCAACTGTATCAATTCTGCTTTCTATAGCTTCAAATTTATTTTCTATTATGCAGGTAATTTCTCTTTTCATTTCTTCTTGACCAGCTTGAACGGCTTTCATTTCGTCCTTAACGGATTCCTGGCCTAATTTCATTTCTTCCTTAACGGAGTTGACGGCCCCTTCCATCTTTTCTTGGAAAGCAGCAAATGCAGTCATCATTTGCCTGAATTGTTCTTCCATCGCTCTTGTAATTGACATTCAAACCCCACTCCTGACACCAAAAATTCTTGCGTGCGTACGGGTTCGTTATGAAATGAATGCACAAGTCCAATGAAAAATGAAGAAAAATTTATTATTATCACAACAAAAATGCTTAAATTTTCTCAAATTATCATGCAGTATTACAATATCTCACAGTAGTTATCTTTTAACTACTCAAATATCCAATAGAACGTAATTCAAAACAGCTAAAGAACGCTAATCCACGAATTCGCTACAATCAACAAGAGCAGTTTTCTAAACAACAACAAACTAAGCAACTACTACTAACTGAGATGTTTTCCTCCTTTTATAAGATTTTAAAAAATCACATGCTAGAATTTTCCAATACTTTCTCGAAATCAAAAAGAGATATTTATTTATTTAATGCACGCGCTCTTGTATTTTCAATTTTCAGGCTTAGCTTTCTTTTAATGTTCGTCACGCGCTGCACCGCGCGAGAAATAAAACCATTTAATTTATAATTGAACTAACATTAGCTTTTTAAATACCAAATTCGTAACAATATAAATGTAATACTACATATCCTAAGTCGCGCTTTCGAGATATGAAAAGTGCACATTGAATTCGTCAATTAGCTCAATAGAATGGGAGATACAGAACTATCCAATTTTTTGTTTTGCGCAGTGTACATCCATCAAGTAATATATTCCGTTAAGATATTTCAACCAAAAAAAAATTATAAATACTATTTAAAGAAGCAATTACAAATGAAAACAATAAAAATAAGTCATTAAAATTTATATTTGTTTAGTTTTTATTCAGTTTTTATCAATACGCATTTTGCCATCAGAACAGATTGCATTAATTATTGTGCTTATTTGGTAGTTAATTCAATATATCAAAGATAAAAAAAAAATGTTTTCAGAATTCAAAAATTATTCTTAGTCTTCTGAGCTTTTTATCAATAAATGCTGTATTGTCAGTCTATTGTTTTGTTTCTATAATCCATGATTTTCTCCATCAGTCTCATTGTTTGTGGCTCTTAAATGTAAGTGTGGTAGTTTTTTATATAAAGTTAGTCAATAAGAGCTAATAGTTTTTAAAATATACTGTTTATTTTGCTGCATATTTAAACATATTAGCTGATTTTATAAATATTATATTATAAATAATAATATAATTTATAAATAATTTCAGGTCTGTAAGATAAATACACTTTGAAACATCAGAAAGATTATAAACAAATATTTTACGAATTCTATTTTAAATCTTATGTTTTTTAATATTAAAAAAAAAAAAAAAAAAAAAAAAAAAAAAAAAAAAGAAAAAAAAAAAAAAAAAAAAAAAAAAAAGAAAAAAAAAAAAAAAAAAAAAAAAAAAAAAAAAAAAAAAAAAAAAAAAAAAAATAAGTAATTTTAAGTGACTTAAAATATAAACAATTGCATGCTTACCTTGAAAATAAATAAATTTAATATACCTTACTATAATTTTGCACGATTATATTTTGACTTGTATTAATGTGGCAAAATCTATCCAGTATTAGTTATTGTGGTGCATATAAATGACTCGTATTCAATATTAAAGCAGTGCCATAATCGTGCATATTGTGTTTGAATATGTATATATGATCTTTCATTTTATTGTTTTTCCTCTTTACATAGTTATCATATACAAGGTCTGTTAAAAAGTATCAAACCTTATTATATTAGTTATATGATGGGTCCCCTTTAAAGTATGCCCCTTGTGCTTCCACACCCTTAGACCATCGTTCCTTCCACTGCCCAAAACACTTCTGGAAGGCTTCTTTTGGAATGATGTTTAATTCTGCCATTGCATTGTGCATTAATCTCTTTTCTGCTTTGAAACAAGATCTTGCCAATGTTATCTTCAATTTCGGAAACAACCGGAAGTCACAAAGAGCCATTTTTGGAGAGTAGGAAAGCTAGAAAATGACTGGAATTCCTTATTTTGCCAAGAAAGTCTGTATCAGGTGTGCTGAATGAGATGAAGCATTCGTGATGCAACTGCCAGCTTTTTGCCTTCTAGAGGTCTGGCCTTTTGCACCAAACTGCATCAAGGAAGTTGGCACAGAACTTCTTGATAGTATTTTTTTGTCACTGTTTGTTCTGTAGATGTGTATTCATGATGCACAATTCTTCGGATATCAAAGAACACAGTTAGCATCATATTTTGCTTCTCATCTGCCTTGCTTTCTTCAGATCCAGGATGCTTCTATTTTGATGACTGGGCTTTTGTTTCAGATTGTATCTGTACACACTCATGATTCATCTCCGGTTATCATGGTATTCAGAAACTTGTGATCAATGTTGCTAGTGAGTGTTCAGTGGGTCTTGTACAACCTCATGAGAGTTCTTTCTTATCTGCTGACTAAAGCTTGGGCAGAAATTCCTCAGCCACTCGTATTATCACGCAAAACTACATGTACAGAACTGCATCTCCCATTATTGTATTTTCTACCCTTCAACAACAGCTGCATTCAAAGCAGTTTGTGAACTCCTTGAATGCTGATCGCTCTCCACCGATGTCTGGCCATTTTTGAATCAGTTGAACCACTCTTTAATTTGTGTTACTCCCTTAGCATCATTTCCAAACACCTGCTGAATGGTACGAATTGTTTCACTTTGAGAATCACCAAGCTTTTGAGAAAATTTGATACAGTATTATTATTCAACTCATTCAGTCATTTTAAGAGAAATCAAAGTTCGCTGAACACTTATAAGAACAATTCACTCGGCAGCTAATAGACAACAACTGGCTCACCAGAATGGCGAGAAAAAACAAAACACACTTTTATGGCTCTATAAGTTTTATCTTGTTCTTTCAGAAATATAAAGTAATCAATAATAATAGAAAACCCTTAAATTATGATCAACAATTGATCAACAATTGTAAGCTAAAAGTTTTTAGATTACATGGCTGGTTAAAAACACAGGTATCCAATCAAGTTAAGTCTAGGTGATTCGGCATGTGTCTGTTTAAAATCTCTCTGTGTGAATCAAATAAATACCTGCTTATAGTATTTGATAGTTTGACAAAGACCTTTTCATAATGGTAAATCTTTAAACATGTTAACCACTGTTCAAAAAGCAGAAACTTTCATAAGGTGGCCCTAGCATAAAAAGTGTCCTCATCCTTGTGAACGTTCTTTTAAAAAGCAGATTTTAGAAAAGTGTGGGCACTTTTTGGCCAATGCACTGCTATGCAAATAGAATTTCTGCTTGCTTTGGTAATCAGAGTAACAAATTGAAATCCTATTTGCATAAAAGTGCCCAAAGTTGTTCAAGTTGCCCAAAGTTTAAGAAACTTGCTTTTTATAAATTAAAAACATATATTTATGAGGGTAAAGCACTTTTATTCCAAGAAATCAATGTGTCACAACAATATTTTTCAGCATTTGAAAAGTTTTTATAAACAGTGGCTGACTTTCATGGCAACACTTTTGACAGAGCACTCTTATCAAGGGGTATCATTTGGTACATATTTCTTGATAGCATTGTATGTGGACTTTGATACTCTTCCCTCCCCCATGAGATAAAATAAATATGAAGTTTCTAGCTATTTGAAATCATATGCGAAATGGGATTTTTTTAAATTATTTTTTTTAAAGAAAGTATATTGTTTTATCAGTAAAAATTAACTATCTTAATTGTAATATTATAATATTATACAGAATTAAAGCAATTCCTCCTTTTTTTTTTTCAATGGTTTTATTTTTATTTATTTATTTTAAAATTCATTCACATTTATTTCTTTTTCAGATGCTCATAGGTACATTCTCTTGATTTACCACCAGCCATCTTATATCTTCAGCCCTTCTTATATGGATGGAAAAAGACGTTCTAAGTTTAATATGACACACATGGTGTCGGAACTAGGGCTAGATGGACCAGTTGCTGGCAATTTCTTTTATACACGTAGTTCATAACCATTTCATTTTGACAGAGGTCAAATGGAAAAATTATTCCGATAAGATTAAATGAATGAAAAAATATTTTTATTGACACTTAACAAAATATATTATGCAAGGCAAGTTGTGAATGAGTGTTTCAGGCTACTTTAAGTGATTTGTTTTATAGGGTTTTCCTACTGTTAAAATTTATTTTAGTTATAATAAAATTATATGCTTTATGCATAAATATTTTCTTTTATTTTTTAATATATTTCTTTTATATTTAATATGAGATATTAATACAACTTTATTAGTTCATGAGAAAATACGTGGAAATAACTGAAATATTTCACTATATTAATTTCTTAGATTTTCAAGTTAATGAAGCATAACATTTTCATTTCAATTTAAGATGTTGTTTAGATTTTACTTAGGCTTGTTAATATTCAGAATTCATTTAATATGAATGCTTATTTAAATGAAATATTAAAAAGCAAAATGAAAAAAAAAAAATGTCCCCCTTTTTTTAAAAAAAATCTCATATTTTTCTAAAAAGGTAAAAATTATGGTATATTAAATCTTACATCATCAAGCAAATAAGTGCACTTTGATAGCATTTATAGCATAATTCAGATAGTGTGGATATTATGTATGTAAAATAAATTGTTATTATATCAAAAAATTATGTGAGGTAATCAGTATTTGAAAAGTATTTCAGTCTAGAGAAACAGAAGATTTAACTTTATTCCTTATAGGACTTATTTCATTTTTAAGTTATTACATTTCTTATAAACCATGCTCTGAATGTGAGTTTGTGTAACTACCTAATTCTAAATGCTGTATTATACAAAACACAAAAATGTGTAAAAAAGAAATAAAATTGCAATTCCCCCCCCACATGAATTAATTATTACTAACAACAAAATTAATAATTTATAACTGACAAGTAACTAAATTCATATGTTTTAGATAGAAAACAATAAGGTGATGAATAGAACAATCAACTCTCATCTAATGAATCAACTCTCATCTAATGAATCAACTCTCATCTAATGAATCAACTCATCTCTGAATCAACTCTCATCTAATGAATTAATTATTTAAGATTAGGTTTGATCTTAGAATGTTAATAATCGTGGTAACTGTAAGGGGGAAAAAAGTATTAATGGAAAACCTAAGGCAAGTTGCCATCTTATTTTAAAATAAGTTTCCTTTCTTGAATATAAATTTCTATGCAGTGCTATTCTTTCCAGAGAAATGCACACACAATTAAAAAAAATCATGGGGCCTACTTTTTAAATGAGTACTTGAGTACTTTTCAAATGAGTCAGTATTCTTCATTCAGTACTCGTAAAAACATCTTTTTTCCACTTCAGGTTACTTCTGTTAAAGCTACTTAACAATTATAATTGGGAGAAGAGGGAAAGAAAAATATTTGGTTTTATGTCTAATAAAATAAGTATTCAGCTACATTGTACAATAATTTTGCATTTTCATGTCATAAAAGCATATTCTCAGAAATATAAAACTGGAAAAATAAGACTTATTTATTTATATTTGTTATGCCACCACATTAATTAAGTAAAAATTCTGAAATTCTCATCTATTTACTTCAAATGTTTCTTTCCACTTAAAGAATGTTTCACTACTTTTAAAATTATGCAAATACAGATTTGATGCTCTTGATTGGTTTATTTGATTTCGGCAAAGCACTTGAGGGCTATCTGCCTGAGGGGATTGATGCCTTCGTGGAGGACTTTCTAAGGGAAACTGGCTCATATATGTGTTAGAGATAAGGAAAACGACAAAAACTCCCATACAACCAGCCTGTTCGTGAATTCAAACCTCTGGACCGAATTACCAGCGTTCAGCCACTTTGCAGCTGGTGAGCCTCTTGAAATTTCCTGAATTCTAAAAGGCAGCTCGTTCTGTATTGAAGTTGGATATAGAAGTTTATTCGTGGAATAGTGTCTTTGCTTTGTGGGCGCATTTAAAATGTTATCAAGCCGGATGTGCTCTCGATAGAGTGTCAAGGAAAGAAAGGTAGGAGACTCTTGGATGTCCTCCGAAAGGTTCTTCGAAACTGGGATGGATCTAAATAACGGCAGAGCTACACAGCCAACATGCAAACATTTCAATGACCAGCCACCCAGAATGTATGTATGAAGATGAACCTTTGTATTTAATAACTTTCTTACCTTTCATTGTTTGTAAAGCTTTTAAATTTCTACCTCTTGCCGTACAGGACAACACCTCTTCAACTAAAGATATAATCTTCTTGCTCTTATATTTTCACCCTGTTCTGTTTGCAGATTCTCCATAAATTAATTCTCGAATTATTTTCCCTTTTAATGATAAATTTAGAAATTCATTCCTTAAAGCACAGTCATGTATTTAATCCCCCGCTTTTTTTAGTCTGTCAACTGTTTTGAACAATTTGCTACTGGATTTACCAATGATAGAAATGTACAATTCTCCCCAAAAGAGTTAGATTGTTCTGCTTTAAACCAATCAGCTACCAACATAAAACTCCATCTTATCTCTGAAATATGTTTTTCTTCATACAGTAATCCTAGTGATTTGCGGTGGCTGACTGTTTTACAGCATGTGGTAAAACTCACAAATCGCACTAAAAATTTGTTCTTCCCAAGACTTTTCACGTGTAATCGCATACACATGAAAAGTTTTGGGAAGAATTTTTTTTTTTTTTTTTTAAATCACCGAAGTCGTGGTGAATTTGCATCTCTTATCAGCAATGTTAAATATATATTGAAAAATTTTTTATTTAAAATTTCAGAATTCCACATTAAAGAATTAAATAATCTTAGGCAAGAGAAAAAATTAATAAACCTTTTTTTGCTAATCATTGTTGGTTCTGAACAATTATTTTAATTATTATGAACAATAATCAAATTATTATTGTTCATAATCAAATGATGATTATGAACTATTATTTGACATTTTGATTTTCGTATTTTAAAGTTATCCATGGCAAAATATCCTTCGGCCTGTTGAATTACACTAAATTTATTACACTTTGGCTTGTTTTGCGCAATTCCGGTTTTTTTTTTTTTTTTTTTTTTTTTTTTTTTTTTTTTTTAAAGACCAGTACTATGCCTTGCTAATGCGAAAATACATATATGCGTGATGGGCAAACATGTATTTAGTAAGTAATACGATGAAAACATAAAAGAAATATAGAACTTCAGAGCATATTCTTGTAAGCATGACTGTAAATTGTTTATTGTTATTAGACAAAATATGTATTGAGAAATGGCAACAGCTAATTGCTGGATGTTGTTCTATATAATTTTTAAAAGATATTGAGATGGTGTACGCTTGAAATGTTTAATGGTACGATGCAGTAAGTACGTTTGTTATGTTATGTACGTTTACAAATACGTTACGTGTAGGTTATTAAGATTTATCTTTAAATAAATGTTTATCTTTTACAACCATTTTACGAGTGATTAATTAACTACAAAAGGAAGTTTACATTCTGCTATAAAAATTAGCTGTTAGTCTTAAGATTGATTTAGTGCCGATTTGAGCAACTTAGCCTTATGAAGCTTTATTTTATCAGCATACTAAATCAAGAGCACTAGAGCAAATTTGAATTCTTTTCTCACGATATGGAAATGATAACCCTTACAACAACAGCGAATAAGCCCTTTTCGAAAAAGAAGAGAGCTGTTCTAACAAAGATAGCTAAATTTTACGGAAGAAATGTGTTTTCGAGAGATTTAGTTAATTCCTGCGCATAACCTCCAATAATTTTTCTTCCGTAATTAAAAAAAAAATGCTTCTTAAATGTAGATTCTTTCAAACTATATTCTGTTAAAAGTACACTCGTATCTAAAAGGTAAGCAATGAAATGGAAAAAAAAAAAAAAAAGCCGGATGAAAAGAAAATTTATTTGAATTCTTTGAAACTGTTCTAAACATGAATTACAAATATACTAATTTTATCGCGAAACGAAATATGGCGATTATTTTTGCGAATTTTAGGGAATTTTGCAATATTTCGCGAATAACATTTTTAAACAAATGCTGAATAAAACCGCAAATTTATGATTTTCTCCTTTGTTTTTAATTTTTATTGAAATTGTTAGGTTATTTTTATACACTGATGTCCGAAATTAAGATTACAAAAACAAAAAATGCGATGAAAAATAATCCGTTTATTTTAATGGAATCTTGTATATGCATGCTCATATTTTGAGACAGTAATAAAATAAAATAATTAAGGGTAACTGATTTACGATATGGAAATGAATGCAAAAACGGCCAATACGTGACACCTCATATTGCTCAACTGGTCCAGCTAAAAAAAAAAAAAAAAGAGTGACGACCTGGCACAGCTTTACATATGTCAGAATGGGCCCTACTTATATGAACGAGGTGTTTGAGCTCGCAGCAACGAATGCCATTCTTCTGAAACGGAAGATTTTAATGTCTGGGAGATCCTATGAGAGAGATGATGTTGCTCAATGGCTTTTCTTAGTCCGTCCAAACATGCTGTGTAAGATTTTAGTAGGGCGAACGACTCTGGCAACACCTTGTGGGAGTACCCTTTTCCGCCAAAATGTCGCCATTAGTTGAGCTCTGGGTAAACTTACGTTGTCGTCTATAAACTAACTTTGAATTATCTTTTATACTATTATGAATTTGAAGATTTTCTGAACTACTGAAATATGAGAAAAATTTATTTTTGAAAGTTATATGAAATCGCCATTCTCTGCTGATCCTTTCCGACAAATAATTTCGATTCCATATGATTCTTTTTTGTTCAAAACTTCTTGAAGAAAGAAGATTCTTGTATGTACAACGTACTGTATTGGAATACAAACTGAAATAGTATACTCAGTAGACCTCACGATGTTACATAATCTAAAACATCAGTTGAAGAATCACGAGAGGAAAACCCAGGAAGAGAAATCAAAGTTTTCTGAAGATTGCAGTATGATGTAAAAACACTGTGCAATTAAATGGCAATCTTGATCTAAAATAAAGGTGTTGAATATGTTTATAGAATTAATTGTTTCATAAATGTCAATTTCAGTTTCCGAGCTGTGACTCTGAGCGTGTTGGACGCACTTTAACTGCTCAATTTACCATGAACTGACCCAGTTCCGTAGGCGGTCAGTTAGCTTACTTTTAGTTTTTACTGAGTATTTTCTTTGACTTCTGCGAGTGACCCTTAGGGTTTCACGGCAAGTATGTCCTTTTTTAGGACAGTAATTACGGATGATGAGGCTAGCGACTGTACGGATTCTGGGTTATCTACTATGTCCATGCCAACCACTTCAAGACGCGAAGAATTTCTGAAACACCTCAGACTAAGGAAAAAAGCGGAAACTAAAAAGGAAAATGCGAGTTCGGAGAAGGAAAGAATTAGATTCGAAAAACTGCAGAAACTTATCCAGGAAATTGGAGCTGACTATTTGACTCATCACTTGGAATTTGAACAACGATTAAAGGAAGTCAAATCCCCTGAACATCAGAATAGACTTACGATGTAACACGCAACGAACGGAGCAAGTACCTACCATTCCTAATAATGAAAATGATTGGACTACGCCAAAAAAGACTGCTAAAATTTATGAGAAACCGATCCCGATGGAGATACCACAAAAAAAAAAAAAAAAAAAAAAAATGTTTTCAAGTACTTAGGAAAGTCGACGAGGAAAACCTCGAAGGAGGAGCCAACTCTGAAAACCCGCCCCCACACATTGTATTTTCACAAGACGATGTTGACTGGCTGACTCTGGACGAAATGTTCACACTAAATTGTACAGATCCCCATGAATCACAAATGAAAGGAAAATCCATCTTCTTGTATACGAAGAACCTGAAGCATTACAGTGCGATGAACGAATCTTACTTGAAGAAAAGATCCCTTACCATTCATACCAGTTGGAATTCGACAAGTCGATTCGAGTCATGAAAAACCTCCCCGCTACTATCAAAGAAAATGTCAAATACTTCAAGACCTTAAATTCAGGAAATATCCTATAGAAAAAGTCAAGCAGTTCTCCAAAACCCATGAAGGACAGAAAATTAAACTCCCCATCTACCTACTGGAACAAAAAAGATCCCCTGAAGGCAATAAGATTCACCAGCTTAATAATATGTTCAGTTTTAACATCACCATAGAGAAATTCAATCCCAAAAAAAGATAATCCAATGCTGCTGCTGCCAGCAATTCGGTCATTCGCAATACTGTTGCAGTAATCCCGTCAGATGTGTAAAGTGCGGGCAACAACATCGAAGCAACCAATGCAACATAAAGCCAGAAGACAAGCCTAAATGTATTTTCTGCGAACTCAACCACATCAGCACTATAGTGGCTGCAGCGAATATAAGGAAAGATTCGAAAAGAAAAGCAGCTCTTCCCAGCCTAAAGCTCCTGAATTCTCCGAAGAAAACTTTCCTAGCTCCAAGACTGCCGAAATCCCAGCCAAGCTACCTACAGCGAGAAATTAAAAGGTAAAATTACTCCACTCCCTGAACAGACCTCAGCGACGCAATGAAATAGATTCAAGATGAAAAGATTAACTCGTTCCTAACTTCCATCATCTCCTCCCTGCTAAAAATGCCCCGTAGAAACCCATAAAATTTTTTTACGGGGAATTGGCCTACGGGTACCTGTACAGCTCTGTGGGTACCCATAGGCCAAATCCCCGTAAAAACCCACAGACAGAAACCCGTACACTGTACGGGTACCCGTAGGCCAAATCCCCGTAAAAACCCATAGAAAGAAATCCGTACGGTTGTACGGGTACCCAAATACCCGTAAAAACCCATAAAAAGAAACCTGTACGGGTACCCATAGGCCAAATACCCGTAAAAACCCATAGAAAGAAACCTGCACGGCTGTATAGGTACCTGTAGGCGAAATACCCGTAAAAAACCTGTAAACAGAAACCCGTACGACTGTACGGTTACGAGTAGGCCAAATCTCTGTAGAACTGTAGGCACTATAAACAAAATCCCAGTAAAAACCCATAGCCAAAAATCAAAACTTTCTATGCATATCCATCCATTGCCCAAATTTCCATTAAAAAAATGGATATTCCGTAGGTCTATGCCTTGTAAAAACCAGTAAACAAAAGCATGTACACCTATACAGGCACCCATACGCCAAATCCTGTAAAAACCACTACACAAAAATCCACAGACCAATAAAGGTACCTCTTGGAAAAATCGCTACACAAAACCCATAAACAGAACCAATAGCATTATACCATAAGTGGAGTATCCATACATAGAATTGTACATAGAAGAGGGTATCCATAGACAGAATCCCTATAAAAAAAATACACAAAAATAGAACTGTAAATCAAATTTCCATAAGAATTAATAATTATAAGCATAAACCAGCAGAAGTACATAATTAGCACTGATGAAACATGTACAGAACTAAATTGCGGAGAAAGCATGTAAAGTAATTTTAAATAAAACTCAATGCGAATAAATAAAAATTTAAAATATCTAGAAGCCTACGAGCCCGTCCTTCTTCATGCACGTCAATATCTATAAACATATTACAAAATATTTGTATAAATTCTCTTTACAAAATTTTAAACTACCTTTGTATAATTCTGAAAATAAAATGAATAGAAAGATAATAACCAAAGTCATGATTCACAACCATCGAATGATATATGTACATATATATATGTAAGAAAAATAAGGAATATGCAAAAGATTAAATTAGCAGCGTAAAATTAATTTTCCTTCTCTATTCTAAAAACAGTAATCTTTCTGCACTGCATCATTTGGAGATTAATTCATGTCATATGACTCTTACATAATTTGATGTTGTAAAAGAAACTAAAACTCAAACAGCCATTAGTAATTTTACAGCAGTATTAACTATCAAAGACGAGTAAAAATGCATCGAGAACAAAAATTAACTCGGTCTGAATTAAGATTTCATCCTTAATGTTACGCATTTGCTTTTTACGCTTTGTATTAGCTGGATTGCAGTCTGTCTGCTCCTTGTTTCTTACTACACATTTATCAAAAATGTTAATTTTTGGAATAGGCATAAATAATGTGCCAACTTGTTTGTGGCTGCAACATATTTGCTGAAAGAAAAGTTAAATTAATTCTACCTCAACTGCCAAATTTCTTATTCATTGTGGATTGGAGTTTCAACATCTCTAAGCCATCAAAATTCTTGCTGTTCATTACGGATTCAGCTGCTTGTATTCGACTACAGAATCTATTACATATATATATAATATCATTTCATTTGATGGTTGCGAATCATTACTTTGACTGTATATGTATATTATTAATTTGATTATAAATATATACATATAGTACTGTACCTCACTGCATATATTTGTATTTCAGTTCTTTAATTGGAAATTAAAACAATTGGTATTTAATCACATCAGCTTGTTTAACAATTTGATACCTAATGAGAAATGTATTGCCAAAGGATGGTACTTTCTAGCATCTTTGCTTAAATTTTAAGTTACCTACAATGCACTAAACCAAATTTAAAAAACAAAACTAGAAGAAACCCTAAATTTTCAGGAAGAGAAACACTTATTAACAAGCAAAATATTAAGCAAAAAAGAATACGGGTCTTGCAAATTAGAAACTTAACATAGAGTTCAAATTTAGCATACTTGCTATCCCCTTAAAGCTCACTTACCAATGATAGTAACACCCTGCAGCTTATTATGACATGCATACACATAGATGCTTTGCGTGGAAGAAAGGATGAACCCAAGAATATAATGTAGTGAAGAAATAATAATATACAAACACTGTGTCAACCCCTTATTACAATACTTTGAATGTTACCTGTATCTCTCAAAAGATAAATGAAACATGAAGATAACATATAATAAACTTAATAGTACCCAAAATACAATAAATTATATTGTAACAAAATGAATTTTAAAAAATTTACAAGTTTCAACAAATACCAATTCTCAACGCACAGTTCGGGAATTAAGAAAATATCTTATAGCGTATAATGTTTTATTCCATATCTCACTTTTAGTGCTATATAATCTTCCATAGATTTTATATAAATAAAATCTATAATATAATGGGTATTTATAGTATATGTAGTTCTTGATGTAAAAAAGGTAAACTTTCGTACTGTAAAAATCCATCTATGTGAATAAGTATGAATATACTCATATACACATAATTATACTAAATAACTAATTTAATGAAACTAAATTCCTATAGAAAAATGGGGAAAGTGTAGAATCGCCCACTGCTTGGCGTGTTTTTAAGAATTGCACATACTCGGTATCCATGTACACATCGACCTATTTTCACTTAAAAAAACATCTCAGAATTGCACAAAAAATGCCATTGTGCACTCCTTTGACTTTATTCATGTACACATCAACCTATTTTCACTTTAAAAGTCAAATGAAAATTGACAAAAATCCAATTCCTTTTACTTTTGTACAAAGTGCCAAATAAATAAGTGGGCGATTCTGCACTTTACCCGAAAAAATATATAAAAATACTATCTATATTAATAATTTATTATTACACAAGGTTTTTCATATATCATCTCAAGGGAACATAAATTTAATTAAAGTGATGCATTATTGGAATAAATTTGAGTTAGTGTTTTAGGTGCAAGTTATTTAGATTTCTATTGTAGAAAGAATACTTGAAATAATGTATAGAAATATTATTTTGAACCATAAAAATTCTCAATAGTAAAATTTAAAGTACTGAAAAGGTAGCTATTGTTTTTGACAGTAGATTATATAATATAAAAATACCTCATGCTGAGCATTTTCTGAAATTACAATGCTAAATGAAATTGATATGGTGCAGTATTTAGCAATAATAACTTTTCGTAAACAAATGTGGCTATACAGTCAAAAGTCGTTAATTCGGACACCCATAATCCGGAATGATCTATAATCCGGACATCAAAGCTACAATCTTTCTGCGCATGCGTCGCGTTGACGCATGCGCGTAAGACCTTTACCGCTGCGAATTTGCGTGTGCGCGTGCGCAAAATACGTTTACGAATGCGCGTTTAATGTGTAACGGACGGGATAAGCTAAGCTAAAATAATCTAATTATCTATTTCAGTTAATGTTGCAGATTGCGTTGTTCCTTAATCTTCGAATTGGATCCGGATTATTATTTTTTGCAGACTGTTAGAGCAATTTTATAAAAGTAAGCTTGAACTTTCGATTATGTCAAATAGAATTTCCGATATATATTTACTAATATGTAAAGGATATACAAAGCGAAAGTATCTTTCGGAATCCATTAAACAAAAAATGGAATTGCTGCAAAAAATGGATAAAGGCATATTCTTTGTTATATAAAACTTTAACGTTTGTTTATCTAAACTTTGTTTATCTTTAACGCCGCAGCCGCGTGCAATGAATGGTGATGTCCTACCTTTCTAGTAATTTTTTTTATTTTTAAATTATTACAATGTATTTAAAACCGCAGATGAAAAATATAACGGGAGAAAAGGGAGCGGGATGAACTCAAATATAACCAAAGAATCTCTAAGGAGAAGAAGTAAAGGTTCACCGGGGCAAATGTGGCTCCGTCAGACCGAAGAGACACATTATGTATATCCTTGAAGCTTACTTTAAAGGGGCAAACCATTCCAAAGCTATCCACCCTCCGTACCTCACTGCGCATGTGCGAAATAACATCAGGAGGCAACAAAGCAGCATCAAAGAATGCGGCATGCCGTCGGCCATGTTAGCAATCTTTTACCACGTTGTTCGAAAACGTTCTTTGTTGTTGTAGTCAGAGGTACTTGGTTTTAGCTATGTGAAATTCTTTTAAAGACTTTTTAAATGTAATGCTGTAAGTGAAATGGTTTTGGCTATTGGGTGAAAACTTTGCTCTTGGTTTTCACAATGGTCATTCCAAATAATTGTCTAAACGTTTTCATGGTAATTTGTTTTTAAAGTTGTTGTCGGATAATTATAATGTATTTCAGTGTTTTCAATTTATTTAGGGGTGCCTTTAATTGTCTTTAAATATTTTTTTCTGTTTCAGTTAGTTATTGCAAATTTTGCTTTTAAAATTTCACTGTAAAATTTTAACTATGGATCCATAAAAATTTATTACGTTTTGTATGGCATGTGTTTTCCCCCCTTTTTAAGTTTACAGAAGAAAAGAATTAAGAAATTTATTTCATTTAAATTTTGTCTTCGTACGGCTCGCTGTTTAAATTGAAAGTAAAAATTGGACAGGATTTCTATAATTCGCCCCAAAATTCCAACTAACATCCTTTTGCTCAGAAAACTCCAGAAATGTATGAAAATAAAACATTTTGAGTTATTTCAAAGTAAAAAATTTACTATCTCCTCGAAGTGCGCTGTTTAAATTTCACCCTGCGCTGGTGTTTCACTGCATAGCCGTGGCTCTTCGGTACAGCGGCGCAGAGGCGAAACAGGTTTACATTGCGTCTATGGAAGCTTTCATTCTTCTCCTTAGAGATTCTTTGGGGATTTCTA